TTCCCTCACAAGGCCAGAAGCTACAGAAAACAAGTGGTGAGCCCTGAAAGCTGGATCTTAAGCTGTGCTCTTATATCTACCCAGAATTCTGGGGCCTCACTACCCAGCAGGAAACCACCATCCACAGAGTGAGTAGCAGGATGCAGAGGCTGAGGAAAGCATTTACAGAGACATCCATGGTCAATTCTTTTACCTCCCAGAGAGACTATCAGACACTATGAAAGGTGGGACAAGATTTCAGCATCACAGAAGGGGCCCAGTGAAAGGCATCACCTTACACATGCTCTGAGGTGACAACTGAGCCAACTACTGAATGGCAGTGACATGTATGTCTGGATATCAGAGGTGACCACCTAAGGTTAAAAAGCCTTCTCCCAAAGTAGAGTACACTGATTTGCCAAATAAATATGGTAATATATATAAAAACAACTTGTATGGCACCTGGAAAAATTAAGTTCCCATTCACTTTTTGTTTCTTCTTTCTTTTCATCCTCACCCCAATTTTTGGCAGCAGCTGTTACTGAACGATGAAAGGTAAGAGGGAGAGGAGCGCCCAGTGATTCTACTCACAGCTCTGCTTAGAATCCTATGTCCAAGCTGCAGGAAATCAATCTCCTCATTTCACAAATGAGGACACTGATGCCCAGAGAGGAGAAGTAATTTCCTCAAAGGTCCCATAGCACTTTGGTGACAGTCAAGATTAGAACTAAGTTCCATTCACACTTCACCATATCACATTGGCCTCACCTGATTGTTTTCAGTTTGCCTCCCAATGCGCAAGAAATGAGATGCACCAAAGCCCTCAATTTTAGGACTCTACTAATGTACTAAATAGTTCTGGGCCAGTGTTGAGTGTGGATCTCTGGCATTTGGTCCTAGTGGGGTAAGTAAGCAATTCTACCTCCACCAGCCCCCTTCACAGAGGCAGTTCAGCACAGTAACATATCCCCATTCAACAATGATTTGGTGACCAATTAAGTTAAGATTTTCAGTAGCTTTACTTCTCATCATGGTTAAGCCAATTCGTGTAAGGTCTCAGAGTATCTCAAATTATTTCAATGATATTAGAAAATTTTCAAACCAAACTAATTTAATGTCATTTAAATATGAAAAAAAATGGATATATGTATACCCCATTTTATCAAACCTGGAGTTGGGTATCAGAAGATAAATAGTGACTACCACTCCGTTCTGGACCCTAGATTCCTTCCATCTCTAACACTCTGCAATTTTATAGTTCAGCCAATTGAACCACAAGTAGGCAATTAATTTAAGTCTTTCTTGTAGAGATTGGGAAGGTTTCTAGAGACACTCTCATCTTGACCTTCGCTCTCTAGATATGTAACCAAATGCCCAGGAGATGATGTGAATTATCCAAAGTCACATGCAATGCATGCCAACACAGACTCAGGTGCACAAACCACTCCTCCCTCTGCATTCCCAAAGCCCAAATTCCCATGCAGCATTTTGTTCTAAATCCAAAGGGTATTTCAAGTACTTTCAATCCCAGTTTAAGGAAAAGACCCATCTGGAGCCATTTGTTTGTGATTAAGAAAAGTCAAAAGTAAAATCTAACCTAAACTACTAATTCATAGTTGGCCAGAAGTAGTAAACAGAATACTATGAATAAATATTTATCAAAAATATCACAGTTATGGGTGTGATTTTCAGAACCCAATCTGAGTGAAAAGTTGGGAATTATAAACAAACATAGTCCCTTAGTAGGTCAGATATATCAGCAGTCCTCATCTCATGATAAGCAGGGTTTAGAGGGACAATGTGGTTTTTGCTAAGATGTTGTGGACCATAACAGACTGCCATGCTTTGATGTTGGAGGAATGAGAGATATAAGGACTGAAAGAGGAGAAAGAAAGAAAGCAAAGTACAACAAAGGCATAACAGGTAGCGAGTGGGTGAGGAACAAAACGATTAACTTAAATGCATTAAGAATACAGCATTCAGCAAAGACTCTAGGGTACAGAACATTACAAATGGACAGCAGCCATGTAGTCTTCAGAAGGGGTGGCCTCAGCAAACCAGGCAAGTGAGGGAGATGGGTCAGAGGAACAGGGATGTTTGCAAGAACTGACCCACCTCATCTGAGTGTGAAACATGGATTTCACTGCCTCATGACTGAAAGACAAAACAGACACCCAAATGGAAATCATTACCATTGGCTAATCCTGCACAGCTAGCGAAGGTGCATAGCATTCCAGGTTATGCAATCAAAGCTTTAGCCATAACAACAACCTTTATACTAGTCCCTGTAGCTGGGCTCACTTGACAAGATGCAGCCTGATATAGTGGAAAGCACACTGGATTTGAAATGAGAGGTTCTGGGTTCAAAAGTACTCATCCTTCCCTGAGTGTCAGTGTTCTCATCTATAATCTGATAATGAAACATATGAAATAATGCTTTAAAAGTATAGAGCTAAAAAAAGTATAGAAAGCTATTATTATCTCACAAACAAGCATCTCAGACAAATAAGTGTTACCTCTTTTGATGTCTATCTCATGGAGTTTGAACTGTATATAGAAAGTGGTTAGGTCACACAGGCAGTATGTAAAAAATGTTGAGATTAGAATTGGGTTCCTAACATCATGACCAGTATTCTTTCCACTATGGCAGGCAGTTTGACAGTGACTGCAAAGTCACCTTTTCTTGCATGACAACCAAGAAGCCCAGGTAAAACATGGCTGCTCAAAATTAGTGGATGTATAGAAGCCAGAGCAGATGCTGGTGATGATCTGAAGAGCAGGTTCTCAGGTTCCAGTGGCTGTTATATGTAGTGACAGAAAGAGCTCTGGGTCACCACTGCTTAGGGGAGGGGTATCCAGAAAGACCAGCCCTATATGTGGCTGAATTTAATCCCCTCTGCCAACCAGGCTAACCTTGGACAACAGCCTCTCTGGGGAGGATTCCATGAAGTCCAGGCCAGTGACCCCAGGAGGCTTAGGAAGGGAAACACAAATGCTGGGAAAAGTTTATCATCTGGGTCTAAAATAAAATTTCCTGTCTTGAGTGATTTTCGCAATTGCCAAAAAACCTGACGTCATGTGGGCTCTTGCTTTTAGAAATAGGAAGTAAAAAGGAAATCAGAGTCCTTGCTATATTGAGGTTTAGGCTTGATTCTTGGCTGAGAACCAGAAACCATTGTCTTTGGTTTCTAGGGAGTTTGGGGCGGAGGGAAACTTGCTCATTGTTAGTGGCTTAGAATCAACTTGCATCAGTCATAAGAGCTTGTCTCTAAAAGTAAAGAGATATTGCTCAGGCCTCCTTCCTCCAAATACAAATACCCCCAGTCTGAGCTATGGACAAACAGAGGCTCATCCTGTTTACTGACTCTTCTGCATTTGTGCCCCACTCCCAAATTTTACTCTTTGTCTTTCCCTCCCCTAACCCGTGCCTTCTTGGGGTCAGGGGAACTGACCTCTGAGGACTTCGTCACCCAGGTTCCTTTGCCTTCTTGCTTCTGATTGGGGTTTGGCCAATGGAGGGAAATGAGAAGATGGGAGGAGAGAGAGGTTGAGATGTTTACTCTACTGGATCTCTCTCTGCCTCACCATGGTTCTAGCAGTGGCTTGTTTCTCTACAAGTAGAGAGGGTGGGACCTCCCCCCTGGCTACAGCTCTCACCAACCACAGGAACAGTACTTCTTCTACTTGCTCTTCCAGGTCTAGAGATGATAATGTTTTCACGTTGTTGCTAGATCTTTGACACCTTAGCATTCTTTGTTAGTTTCTTAAATTCTACCCATGCTTCTATAAATTATCTTTTTATTAAATTCTCTTCAGGTGAACTATGAGAGTTCCTTCTGATTTCTGCTGGGACCTTGACTAATATCTGCTTCTACCAAGTGCCTTCTCAGTTTATGATGTTTTGCAATGACCTCTAGATAGATAATCCCAGGCACCAAGTTTTAACCCATTTCCCATTTGCCTCGAGAATACTCACCAGCAGTGCTCATAGCTGCAGCATTTACCCCAAGATAACTCACAGAGTATAGTCCTAATCTGTGCCCCCAATTTGTGCCCCCAAAGTTTGCCACAAAATATCTCACTTTTATTATTATTTTCGAACCACTCCAGCATATCGATAGTCTTTGGAAACAAATGACATCATTCTATTTACAGTATTCTGTTTTTAGTAGTTGTATTTCCATTTACGAAATATAGTAATTCTTGATCGCTGAAAATGTCAAATCCTAGAAAACATAACATTCCTATGCATGATGTTAATGTCATTCTCAAACAGTTGTTAGCCGAAGATGCATTTGATGAATCTGATTTATGTATACATTTCTGTTACATTAGGATAAGAGACAGTTCTGTTTAAAAATAACTCCAATTATATTTTATTTTTACATTGAAAACCAGTCAGATTTGCTTTAGCCCCAAAGAGCATGCTTGTGTAAAATTAAATTAATGCTGGCAGAGAGCTGCACTTTTTTTCTAAACAGGAAATGGGTTAAAATAGTAATTAGAAGTTTATCTAACATATCTATAACATATCTTGAGGCAACATTAAGAAACATAGAAAGATTCAGAAATTACCCATGTGGAACTCTTTGCTATCCTCCTTGTTACCTTTCTCCAAGCCACAATTATTCTAGAATGAAATTTCTTTCTTCCCATTTGAAATCCATGCTGGTTCAGGTTCAACAGTTTACCTTTGACTTAAGTCAAGTCAAGAAAACAACATAAGGTCTCCCCACCCCTTTCTCACTACCCCAGTGAAAGACATACTCACTTGCCATTGTTAAATATGACGGTGCAGTTGGGCCAACAGTCATGGTTCACCAGGCCCAAGTTGGGGAAGATGCCAACACCCACTGCCTGCAGGCCTCTCTGATCACTGAGTGTAAAACCATTGCAGTTAATCTACACAGCAGAAAAGATAAAAGAGTCAGCTAACAGACAGAGTAGGGATAAGTCACCATCTAGCTATTGAAAGTTAAAAAAAAAAAGAAAGAAAGAAAAGAAAAGAAAACCTGGTCTCATTCTGGAAATTCTTAGAGAGTCTGGAAACCAAACAGTCTCCTGTTCTGTGTGTGACTCAAAATGACCCTCAAGATTAGTACCATGGGAGAGTCTTGTATTTGTTAAAATGCAACACCACCTTGAAAGTTTTGGTAGCTATATTCTAAAGAGGACAAAGATGTAAATATTTGTTCTGAAAGTCTCTCTCCTTCCTGTATCTGGGTCTCACATGAGTCTTCTCCAGTATCCATTTTGGTTCCTCTCTCTGTGTTCTACTCTGCCTTAATGTGTGTGCATGTATGTGTATGTGTGTGTGTCTCCCTTGCTTTCTGCTTTCTTTGCCTACCCATCCTCAAATCCTATAAGCTGCTCATAAGATAAAATTGACATCTCTTTTTTATTATTTTGTGTCTGGTGGATATTTTATACTCCCTGTTCACAATTTTAAATTCTGATGAGTGCAATATTTATCTCTGAATACAAAGTAAATCAAGTTCGTTATTACTTATATACTCAATTTATTTCCTTTTCCTTAAAAATATACGGTTCTTTATAAAAACATATTCTAAATATCTGCTCTCAGGACATGAAAAATGCTTAAGAATAAATATAACCCAGAATACATTAACAACTGCACAGAAATTTCTGCTTTACATGTAAATAACATATAAGTACACTATATATAATATAATATACATTTATATATGTCAGTTGAGATGTATAGTACATGGTTATTTGTTACAGATACCAAAGGAGTGTCACTTCTCCATTCAATCTCATCAGTCATTCAGCAAATACATGAAGTTAAGCCTGTCAGTACCACTAAGAAGCTTGTTACCTTGCTCAAATTTCTTTCTTCTCTGAGCCCCAGGTTTCCCATATATAGCTTGAATAATTGTACTAGATGATCTCTACGGTCCTTTCAGCTTTGTACTTTGGTGATTATGACATCCTGTGATGTAGTTCCCAGACCATATTATGGATACCCAATATGGGTCTATGACACCCACTCACCCCAAGGCTGTGGAGCATAACCGCTAAGAGTAACAACCCTGGTACCAGACATATTGGACACCAGCTCACTGTGTGGCCTTTGGAACTCATGGAAGCTCTCTGGGCCTAGGCTTTCTGTTTATAAAATAGAAATGTTAAAAGAATGGAGTTCACTTTGTGTTGTAAAGATTGCATAAAATAATACGTGTGATACTGGGATGGTTACTTTTACGTGTCAACTTGGCTGGGCTATAGTGCCCAGATATTTGGTCAAACATTATTCTGTATGTTTCTGTGAAGGTGTTTTTCAAGTGGATTAGCATTTAAATTGGTAGACTTTGAGTAAAGCAAATTAGCCTCCATAATGTAGGTGGCCTCATGCAATCTGTTGAAGGACTAAATAGAACAAAGACTGATCTCTCCTGAGCAAGAAGGAATTCTGCCAGCAGATGACTTTTGGACTCAAGCCACAACTTCTTCTTTGGGTATCCTGCCTGCTGGCCTACTGGCAGATTTTGGATTTACCAAGCCTCCACAATCTCAAAAGCTAATTTGTTAAAATAAATCTTCTTTTAGATAGATGATGGTAGATAGATAGATAGATAGATAGATAGATAGATAGATAGATAGATAGATAGATGATAGATAGATGA